AGTGAGAAGCACGCAAACGCCTCTAGCGGCTGTCAATGAGACAGCCACTAGAGGCTTTAGAGGCTGGATTAACCTATTTATAAACATAGCAGTTTCTCTGAAACTGCTATGTTTATAAAAAAAATGGGTTAACCCTAGCTGGACCAGGCACCCAGTTACACCGTTTTACCTTGAGCCTTTTGTGACTCTTTTTCCAAAATGCTGTCATTTCATGATATAGGCTTTTGGTATTTTTTTTTCCATATGTTTGTTCCACCATAACTTAACACCAATTAAGTGTAACATAATGTATACCATTTGTTAAAGGACAGGTAGGTCTTTCTTTTGATATTACATGTGTATTGTGTGCTTAACACTATACTAGTTATGAACAATTTATTTTAAGAAAAAAATGAAATTTTTTTTTACATATTTTCTCATAATCATGACTACACAACTAATGCAACTAAAGTAAAATGACTCAAAATAGATTCACTTTTTAGTCCTAATTGTAAAAATGCCTCAATTATCTAGGATATCAATTTATTTTTGGAAGTTACTGGGCGAATATGACAGAGTGAATTGTGAACTGTAACCAAAATAGGCATGCTAACACTTTAGCTTTAACAGCAGACATAATACAAAATCGACAAAAAAGTAGACACATCACAGAATTTAAAATATCAGCATTTGAAAAGTTTTAATTTGATAATTTTGTCACCTATCCTCCCAAAATTGCTGAGTACACATTGATCAGCCTCAACAATAAAATTGCCATTGTAGGTCCCCCTCATGCTGCAAAAACAGCTCTGATGCATTGAGGCATGAACTCCATAAACCCTCACATGTCCTGTGGAATCTGGGGCCAGATGCTGCAAGCTGTGAGATGGATCCACATCTCACAGATGCTCGATCAGATTTAGATCTGGGGAATGTAAAGGCCAGGGCAATATATTCACCACTTTGTCATGTTCCTCAAACCATTCCTGAACGATTTTATTTTTTTTAATTCTTTATTTTTGTCTTGCAGGTAAGTACATTGCAAGATTAAACGCCACAACAGCGTACATGTTTTATACAAAGCAAACAGTGGCAAGGGTAAATGCACGTTTTTATATTAGGATACATAAAACAAGTTTAACAGAACAGATGTGTTTCCAGAGTAGATTTAGAGTGTTCAATGTTTGTGAGGGAAGAATGTGGTGCAGGTGAGTTATGTAGTTAGTTCAGGCTATGTGCAAGGTGAGAGTGAGTGTCCTGTTTGGTTGTCTTTCTGGCTTAGGCAAGTGTAGAGTATATGCAGGGCCGGCGCTACCATAAGGCGGCCCAGGTGGCCGCCTTAGGGCGCACCGGCCCTGGGGGCACAACATCAGGCTGACCGGAAGGAGGGAAGGGCACTGCGCTCCCCTCCAGCCGGTTACTACTTGTAGCGTGGCCGAGCGCAGCCCAGAGATTCCCGCCCGCAGAGCCCAGCCTCGGCCCGCCCACCTCCTACACTGGTGTCTGCCGCAAGCTGTGTGGAGGGGGTAGGGATATGAATTACATCATATCCCTGCTCCCTGTGTACCACACAACGCAGCTGGTGCCCAGTGATGAGGTTGGGCTGCAGGACGGGACTCCACAGAGCCGGACAGCGTGCACCCAGGGGACAAGATTATACAGATGTAAGTATGTCTCTGTATGTATGTAAGTATGTCTCTGTATGTATGTAATTATGTCTCTGTATGTATGTAATTATGTCTCTGTATGTATGTATGTATGTCTCTGTATGTATGTATGTCTCCGTATGTATGTATGTCTCCATATGTATGTCTCCGTATGTATGTATGTCTCTGTCTCTGTATGTGTCTATGTATGTCTCCGTATGTATGTATGTATGTATGTATGTATGTATGTATGTATCTGTATGCATGCATGCATGTATGTGTGTAACTAAATGTATGTTTGTCTCTGAATGTCTGTTTTTTATGTCTCTGTATGCATGTGTGTAACTGTATGCCTTTATGTCTCTGTATGTACGTATGTATGTATATATGTGTCTGTGTGTCTCTGTATGCCTGTATGTCTTTGTATGCATGTTTCTGTATGTATGTATGTATGTGTCTGTATGACGGTTTGCCTCTGTATGTATGTATGTATGTGTCTGTATGCCTTTATATATGTATGTGTCTGCATGCCTGTATGTTTCTGTATGCCTGTATGTCTCTGTATGTATATATGTATGTCTTTGTATGTATGTTTCTGTATGCCTGTATGTATGTGTCTGTATGACGGTATACCTCTGTATGTATGCATGTCTTTATATGCCTTCATGTCTCTGTATGCATGTATGTCTTTTCCTGTATGTGTCTGTAGGTCTTTGTATGACGATTTCTGTGTTTGTATGACAGTGTACCTGTATGACTTTGACTGTGTGACTGAAAAATGATGCCTGTGGCTTGGGAGGAAATACACACAGGTGAAGATGCATTTTTTTTTTTTTAAAGGAGGGTGAGGGGTGCCAAAATGCATCTTCGCCTGTGTAACTAAAAATCCAAGCACCAGCCCTGAGTATATGGACCTCATGTTAAGTGCACATATTATCAGGCTGAGCAATGCATCAATGCAGTCTAATGGCAGGATGAATGTAAGATGCTGAAACAAGCTTTTGCTGCTTTCTAAGAGCACATAGTGAGTTTGCCTAAGAGGCACAATAGTCATGACTGGGTATCAGAGTAGTCTGCTTAACCATTAGTTTGTCACAGTAATTACAAAGTCTTTCTAGCGTCTGTAGTGAGAGCTATCATATGACGAAAATGCACACAACATAACATTAAACCAGCTAACTTTAAGCATTTCACATGCACTATTCATATGCTCTTAGGGGGGAGTATTCTCATGCATTTCTGGTTTGTAATAAGTGCCAGGTTACCTGTCCGGCAGACCAGTGACATTATGAGCAGGAAGTTTATATAATATAAACATGTCTAATTCCCTAGGGCTATGGTGCAGGTACGCTAGATAAGACACTCTTGGGGTTGGTAGTTAATAAGCGTTAAGTGACATGCTAGGCAAATAGATCATAGAGACCACAGGAGTCGATCAGGCAGCAGGTTACAATGCATTCTACTGTACGGGTCCAGGCGTGAGCGTTGGCAAATGTTCTCAGCCCACTCCGCATGGTGGAACAGTGTGGTGGTATTGGAAAGCCAGTCTATCGGGTCGTGGAGGGGAACCTCGTCTACCCCGTACATGAGTGAGAATCCACTGTGCTCCTCCAAATTGTCCTTCCGTATCAGGGGGTCGCTTGGCTGTCCTTGTTGCTGGATGCTTCCAGCTTTTCACAGACTTGCGTAGTCTGTGTGCCACGTGTCTTCAGCCTGAGGCCTTAAAGGGGACTCATGTCTTCTTACCATAGATCCCTTCTTGGGGGTCTTGGGCCCAGGGTTTTTCCGGTTCTCAGTTATCTCCCTGGGTGTATGGCTGGCGAAGGAGAGGTGCCTCCAGGTGAGTAACCGGCCCAGAAGAGGATTGAGTGGCTGAGACATCAGCGCAGTCCATGTGTGTGGCTGAGCATGTTGGGTCGGTAGAGCTGGTTATTGGAAGGGCTTCTGTCTGGAGCTGTGGGGCAGGAGTTGTAGGTGGCTGCATCTGCTTAGCACGGGCTTCAATCCGGCGCCAGAATGCTGCACACACCCTGTCGAAGTCGGCATTGAATTTGGCTTCCCAGGTTGCTTCAGTGCGTTTCCCTGTTGCGGCGGCCATTTTGGTTGTGGCCCAGGGGTGAGATTAGATGACATATACTGAGATTCCCTTATCTGCCTTCCCTCCAATTAGGACCGGGATGACACCCACCGGTCCGGGGGGGGAACGGGTCGGTTATAGTAGCCCAGCAGCCCCAGGGTGGAGGATCTGCCATTTTCTTCCCCCCTGGGATCCACCAGGTGAGTAGGCCACAGAATCCGATTCTGGCTTCAGGTTGCTGGGCGAGTCTCCGGAGTCGCTTGTGAGGGTTCCCTGTAAGTTTGTTGTAGTGTATAATCTCGTTGGTTTCAGTTTTAGGGGTTACAACTGTGTGTTTCTCTTTTTGTGTGAGGAGCTAACCGCACACACGTCTGTTGGCCATGCTGGTTAGGCCCTGCCCCCTCCTGAGCACTTTTTGCAGTGTTGCAGGGTGCACTATCCTGCTGAAAGAGGCCACTTCCATCAGGGAACACCATTGCCATGAAGGGGTGTACATGGTCTGCCACAATCTCTAGGTAGGTGGTATATGTCAAAGTACAGCCTGCCTTCTTCTCATAGAACATCTTGCTGCCATTATTTTCTAAAGTAAACAACACACATGTACCGGGCCACCCACCTGATCTAAAAGAATACGACCAGGCATCCTTTACTTTATGGTCCAGTTTTGATTCTCACATCCCAATTGTAGATGCTTTCAAGCACTCTGACCAGTCTGCGGCTACACAGCAAACATGGATTCACTGTATCATGGCCAGCATTATGTTTTTCAGCAATATGTGCTACAGTAGTTCTTCTGTGTTATCGGACCAGACGGGCTAGCCTTTGTTCTCCACATGTATCAATGAGCCTTGGGTGCCCATGACCCTGACATGGATTCATCAGATGACTTTCCTTAAACCAATATTGGTAGGAACTAACCAATACATAGCGGGAACACCCCACAAGACTTGCCGTTTTGGAGATGATCTGACCAAGTCATCTAGCCATCACTATTTGGCCCTTGTCAAATTTACTCTTTTTGCTTACCCATTTTTCCTGCTTCCAAAAAAATGAAATTCAAGAACTGACTGTTCACTTTCTGCCTAATATAACCCACTCTTTGACAGATATCAGTGTAATGATATAATCAGTGTTATTCACTTCACCTGTCAGTGGTTTTAATGTTGTGGCCCATCAGTGTATATATAGTGCATACAGTATTCACAACCCTTTTAAGGTTAAAGATCATGAAAAGACAGTCAAGTTGTTGCCTGGGCTGCAAGATGGTGAGCCCAGAAGCTGATACCATAGACCAGGAGGATGTCACATGCTGCAGCATAAAAGTAGGAGGTAGAGACAAAGAGTCTGCAGGTGTAATGTGAAGAATACCTTGGACTTCCATTGTTTGCTTGATTGTATTTCAATCTGTGGGATTTTTCCAATTTTCAGGGTTAATTTCACAGACAATGTATGAGCCACTAATGTAAAGGTTCATGATTTGTTTTCTGCTGCTGTCCTCAAGTACAGCAATAGTCCACTTATATATATCCTTTCTATACCTTTGCCCGGATTTGGGGCAATTTATTGGGTCACATTACTGATGTACCCTAATTTTGACATGCAACTTTAGTTTTTCCCCAGATATGCTATTTGGCATGACCAACATCACATTTTGACTTTGATTTTGAACCCCCCCCCCCCCTTAACACTAATCTTAATTGTAACCCTAATCCAGTGACAGCATGTACACTCCGTGGTCAATGAGATGGCAACATGTACAACATGTAATGGCATTTGTGAGGCATCCAGAAATAGCAATATTGCTGCAATTACAGTGATCGCAGCAATATTATGGAAATTTAAAACGACTCAGTTTGTGGGACAGAGCCGGTCATTAAGGGCATTACCGTACCACACTTTACAGTTAGGTATAAATTATATTACATGATTTTTTTAGGGCTTGAGGTTAGCCCTAGAGTTAGTATTAGTGCTAGGGTTCTTGAAATCTAAGGGCAATTTCTGAGAACTCTTAATCGTTCGTCAGGACTAAATCATTGGAGAAATGGGGAGGGAAACAGTTGCCCCCCCGCCACTAGCATACCGAGTTTGAAGGCTGCAGCCTCACACAGTTCTTCTGGGAATTAAAAAAGTAGGCAATGTGTTGGGATATCTGTTAGCACAATACTGCAGGAATGAGTGGGCAAGTAGAATTTGTGCAGGGCCTTTCCTAGCCCAGCAACTTGTGGATTTATGTATGGAATATTGGGCCACATTCTCAATTATCTACAGTTGTCTACCAGTATGTTTCCTGGTGGACTGAAGTATATGCCTGTCATGGGTTTAAGGCACCTGTTTACTATTCAGATAAGAACATGTGGCCTCCTACAATTGAACCCAATCACATAGTTTTAATGCAAACCACCATCTGTTTCAGATCATGTGTTCAAATTATTTTTGATAATGGAAAAGAACAGTGTAGAATGCTGCTTTAGAATATATACATAAAGATTTGTGCATAACTGACTCATTTATATGCTAAATTCAATCTTAGAGAGACAGTGCCCCCTGCTGGCTGCATGTTAACAAGTCAATTTAGTCTTCAATTGTACTGTGTTCTAACTGTACTTGTGATTTTAAAATACAGATTGTATCTAGAAGACACCAAAGTTGGCAGCATCATATTTATTTATGAAAAAAATATAAAATAAAATGGCTATGTTATCACTTGTGATCCCTTGCAACAGCAGTAACATATAATGTGTTGTATCTCTAATTTCTAATAAGAATATTATTACTCTTCAATCTTTATTTATTAAATAATTATTCTATAGATGCACATATCTAGCAGTCATGCAGGGATAGCTGTGTATTAAATAGCATGCCAGGCTAGACATACCCTTTTGCATCGAATTCTAGTACCTGTTAGTTGATGACCATATAGTACATGTACTGTCATACTGCAAACCTGTCTTCTCAAATAGGTATTTGAACAAACTACTGCTAGTTGTGATCTGTCAGATAAATGGGTCAGTTTTTGTTGTCATCTAAACAGTTTCTCAGAGACATAGGCAGGGTATTATAAGACTCCATACATCCTATTATGTATAATGCAAATGTTTACTTCAAGGGAAGAATTTTTTTTTTTTACATTCTTGTCTCTTGTTTTTTGACAGAATCATGCCGCTTGGTAAACCAACATATTATTAATTAATCAGTCAGTTTTGTTAAAACTTCATTTTTTTCTTTAAGTATTTGTTAGACGTTCTGTTAGTATCATGTTTAGTTTAGGTTTCTTTTTTACATGCATGTTATGATACAGTATAGTTTACATATTTCATATTTAGAATTTTTCTTTTATATTTTGAAACATATCTCAAAACCTTCTTTTGATTGAGCCAAGGAGTCATAGTGTGGTTATTCTCTCATACAACGTCTTGTTTCAATACTACAGGATTAACTGGTTTTAAAAAGCAAAAGCAAAAATGTCTTAAAAAGTAATTACCATTCAAATTGACCCATGCCTTAAGCCTGATTGTCATGTTTTGTTTATTTTACTTCTCTTAACAGCCAGGCCCCAATTATTGATAACTAGGGCCCTGAGGTAATAAAGGGCACCTTAAAACTAGTGTTGCCACATGATCAGTATTTTACCAGTGATGCCAGTATTTTAGGTTGTCTGGTATGTGCTGGTATTGTAAAAATTACAGAAATGCAAATGTTGGCATTTTTAACTGGTGGACTCTTTGATTACTTGGGTTCAGCGACTGAGGAAGCTGCAGAGGAAGAGAGATTGTATGGAGAGACCTGGTGCAGGAATGGCCACTTTGTATCCTTAGCAGGTACACTCACTGCTTTATACACACAATGACAAAGAGGCATACCAGAGGGGGTACAGAGAGGAGCAGCTACCATTGGGCACTGGCCTGCATATGTGCATTAGACTGCTGCATGTTACTTGCTTTCTCATGCCTCGGCAGTGTAATACAAGACACAACGTGATCACACATCCTGTGCACTGTACTACACCACACAATAAAGCCACAATGCAGCAGTGATGGATGCCTGAAGCACACACATTACACTTCATGCTCTTGCCGCTACACCACCATGGAAGGAAGTAAAAAATCCAGGGGTGGCCTGTATTGGGAGTGAATTACACTGACGCACCTTCCAGTGAATTTTTACATTTGTAATATTATTGCTGCATTAGGAGGATTCAGTTATTGTATGTGGTTTATGTTTGGTTAGTTAGTGTGTGGTGTGTCTGTTGCTTGATTAGCCAGGGTGTGTGTGTCTGGGTTGTTAGTGTGTGTGTGTGTGTGTGTGTGTGTCATTTTAATAGGTAATATTACTTCCATATTTTGAGTTGGCGGATTTGTGTTTGTGAGAATTTGAGTAGTGAGCACGTATGAGAAGATAGTTTGCCTGTGTGTGTATGTAAGCCTGTTTGGTTAATATAGCAGCCTAGTGCTTTTTGTCCCAAAATAACCAGGGGAGACTACATTTCACTAGGTGTGGGTTCACCTTCAAAGAAAAAATAGAACAAAAATCATGTTAGTTGTGGTGAGTAATATTGAGACGTTGTCTACTAGCTTAAGGCCAAACATTTTTAGCCATGATCTATATATATATTCATTCAGTGATATATGCGGGCTACAATGGCCTCCATCAATCTCTGATTTATGCTTACCTTCCCCGTTGTCCTTTGCATGTACCTGGCTTCTTGAAATGTAAAGGTGTGAACAGACCATCCATCAGTTCATCGTCCTCCCAGGTCTGGTGAGTGATGTATTAGTCAGAGGAGTCAGAAAGAGGTTCTGATCAGGACACTAGGCAACACAGTATATTCTCTCACCAAGGCACATGGCACAGTATGGTGTGTGTGTGTGTGTGTATTTCTCAGTGAATGTCTCTGAGTCAGAGAGTGTGTGTGTGTGTTGTTGTTGTTTGCAAGTGAGGGTCAGTGTCTGTGTTAGTGTGTGTGAGTATGTTTGGGGCAGTGACTCTGTGCCAAAGACTGTTTGTGTATGAGTCTTTGTATCATTGTGTTTATGGGTCAATGTTTGTGTCAGTAAGTAACCCCTTAATAGGTCAGTTCTGTCAGTGAATGTATGAATAATTAATGAGCTCTGGGTAACATGCATACCTAAAGTTTTTAGGAAAAGTCAGTACAAATAAAATACAGCTGCCACCCCACCTGTCAGCTGACACCCACGAATGATGTTGTTATTGCTGACATGCAATACATTTAGACTCCACCCCCAGCTCCCCTCCCTCCCCTTTCAGTACCCAATCTTAGAATACACCGGCCACAGGGGAAAGGGCTGTGACACAGACAGCATGTTGCTTGGTCTATTAAGTGAGCACTCCAATTTCCCTAAACTGCAGTACAATCCCTTAGTATATAAAAAAAATTTGATTAGAGAATGTTCCACTCCCTGTGATGTCACGCTTATATAACTAATTATGCTAATTAGCACTGGCAACATAGTTTTCCAAGAAAGGTGGCAACTCTACTTATTATACCTACAGGAGGTGTTCTAAATCTCTGTCATTTTATTTTCTGTACTAGCGTTAGAGAGGAGCCCCTGGATGGTAGTAGAAAGAAGGATCCTGAGAAAAACATCCTGCTTATCAACATTACTGATAACAAACAACAGGTATCACATTTTTGTTTTCCTGCCAATACTGATACTGCAGATATGGAATGTTGGAGAATAACGCAAAGAAACTTTCTCAAATCTGAGTTGTCTTTTATCTGAAAGAAAAACTCTATGAGAATTCTACAGGAACTATTAGATACTTCCTTTTCTTCAAAAGTGAGAATCTCACAAAGATTAAAACCCAGAAAAGAGTCGAGCACACGTTTGGCATTGAAAATGATGCATTTTCAACAGTGTTACTTCAGAGAAAGCATAGTTTTTAACACGAAATGTAACTAGAGACTCTTTGTTTGGCTTTATTTTCCATTTAGTTCCCCGTATAACTCCTAATCTAATTGTTTTTAGATTCTTGTTAGTAATGTAATTATTATGCCGGCATTTGTTCTGGAAAAAGACGGTGTGGATGTTACAAGGATCACAATACAACGATACTTGTAAGCCTTTACTGCCTTTACTGCGCGCCAATGCCACAAAAAAGGCTGGTTACAATATGCCCAACAACACCTTGACATGCCTCACAGCTTCTGGCACACTGTAATTTGGAGTGAAAAGACCAAATTAGAGCTTTATGGTCACAACCATAAACGCTATGTTTGGAGGGGGGTCAACATGGCCTATAGTGAAAAGAATACTATCCCCAATGTTAAGCATGTTGGTGGCTCACTGATGTTTGTGTGGGGCGTGAGCTCTAAAGGCATGGGGAATTTTGGGAACATTTATGGCAAGATGAATTCGGCATGTTCTCAGAAAAAAACGGCAGACAATTTGCATTTTTCTGCACGAAGGCTGCGCATGACCTGGAGGCATTTTGCCAAGACGAATGGACAGCTATACCACCTGCAAGAATTAAGGGTCTCCTAGATAA